TACACACTACCCTCTCCAGACCCCACTTGTGGGATTACACTGAGTATGTTGTCGTTTTAATGTAGATTATGTTATCTTCAATACGTTAAACAAGTTATTCTAACCACAAAGTGACAGTGCACATATCCTTAAGTTCCACCATTACTACAGTTTACATCCTTATACCGTCTTCTGTTCACAGGATAAGATGGATGCAGCTGGAGTTGCACTTGTTTTGATTGGACCTGGTAGTGTTGATCAGGTATATAGCAGCGATGCTTCTTGCACCGAGTTGCTTATCCATGGATTAACTCTCTTTATTCTTTCCCCTTCGAGAAATTTTTTAAACAGTTACTTATCAACAATAACAAAAAAATCTTAAACGGTTATGACACCTTCCATTTTTCTTGTCCCAAGTTACATCATCCCACTTTTAGAAGTTGCTTCTTAACTCTCACAATCATTTTGGGTATGAAGAATAAACGCATAATAGATAAAGAAACGATCAAACTTGGCCTCAGCTGACAAGTATAAGCACTCAAACTTTGAGAGTGGACATCTAGACACCTCAACTTGGTCATAACTGATAACTAAAACTTCAACTTGTCCCCATTGTGTCTCATGGACACCCGACTATGATGTGACACATACATTTTGGAGGTGTCTAGATGATCATTTTTTGAAGTTGGAGTGTTCAACTGGAATAGCGGAGACGAGTTATGGTGTCTAGATGTGCATACTCAAAATTGGAATGTTTAGTTACCAGTTACGACAATGTTTGAGTGTTTGTTTATGTATTACGCCAATAATAGAAGTTTTCTCTATTACAAGGATCTTTTTTTTTTTTAAGCCCATTTCAACTTGTGCTGCAGTTGTTTGCTTCCTTTCTGTTTCTTGCTCCTTTATGATTTCAAGAGCTCATTAAAGCTGGATTTAGTTGTGACTCGTGTCCCCTTCTTTTTCTTTTCTCCAGGCCAGAAAATTCTATGAGCAAACAAAGTTTAAAGGAGGTAAGTTTCGAATAAAAGACCTTGTGTCCACAGTGGCTCAGTGTCTGTTACTGGAAGTCCGTTATATCCCATGAACTCAGTTCTAGCAATGTCCAATGGTATATATGCTCCACAGGACCAGTGACCTCGCTCGAATGCTATTGCACTATAAGTTACAGTTTCCCCTAAAAGAAAATTTTCAGCATTAGTAGAATTAACAATGTGAAGCAGTGAGGGATATAAGATATATTCTATCTGATGCGTATAATTCTAAAGCTACGGGAAGGGTCAAAACAGGTAAAAATTCACAGAACGGCTAAGAGGGTTGTTACATCATTCACCACTAAAACACACGTTCATCCTCGAACGTAAAGAGAAAGAAAGTACCAGGGCCTGATCACGTGATGTTATGTTCCCCTTCTAAACAAACTAGAAAGATCCAGAAGACAGAAACCTATCACGACCCAAAAAAATTCGAGGATTAATTGCTGCTAGAAGTGTTGCTAGTTTGTTACATTGGCATTCTTATTAAGCTAAAGTATATTCTGGTTTTGTTTCAAAGCTTTCTTTATCTGCGATTTTTCGAAATGTGACACCTTGACAGAGGTTCATTATTGTTATTCAGAGGTTTATGCTGATCCAAGCTATAGGTCTTATGAGGCTCTGAGATTTGTGTCAGGCATTACAACTACATTCACTCCCGGGGTATGCAAATAAGATCGATGCTCATAAAGTGTAACATTTCCAGCTTCTCAATGTATTCTAATAGTGGTCTTGCTCATCTTTTCTTATTTACATCAAATATAGGCAGGTTTGAAAATAATACAGGCATACATGGAAGGCTATAGACAGGATTGGGAGCTTTCTTTTGAAAAGGACACCAGGACACGAGGTGGCTGGTAGGTCAATTTCCATAGATACTATTATAATCTTCTGATTTGTTCGCCAAGGGTCTTTCGGAAACAGCCTCTTTACCTCCACGAGGTAGGGGTAAGGTCACACCCTCTCATCCCCAGACCCCACCTAGTGGGATTACACTAGGGTATGTTGTTGAATCTGTTTGCTAATAGGGCGAGTACATATCTTGTAATTGGACGACATTTACTATTTCTAGAAGTTGCACAATTTTGATGGTTGACTCCCAATTCCCAAACACCGAATCAAGTTTGGTATACTAAGAAAACAAGGAACAATTATCTTATCCAAGTAATTCCGTTGTTGTAAAATCCGCCTGAAGTGAATGGGGTAAAGAACTTTATCATTTCCGTTTATCTATAGGTAAACCATAAGCCATAGTTTCACTATCATTTTAGCTTATAGTTGGTTTATGACATTCTTGGTTGTTAGATTCTTTAGAATTTTGCGCAAGACGACTTAAATGCAGAAACATGTCTTTTTGTCATATTATTAGTGACTGTTTACTGGAATAATGTGAGACTAATAAGCTTGTAAATTGTCAGGCGACAAGGAGGAATTATTGTTGCAGGTCCTGGTAAAAATAACATCACATACATACACAAGGTTAAATTTCCGTCCCTTCGTCTTCTCAGTCTTGATACAGAATTTATATGCACCAATGTAGCTCAGAATTTTCTTTAAAGGCTCTGTTAAATAACTCGTCATTGTCTGAGAATAGCTCGAAGCTTCATGCTCTCCGACTAGTTAGTTTTCGACTTTACTTCTCAATACCATTTAGATTTCACACTACCTGGTTGATTTTGGGAAAATTACTTGACAGAGCAAACATATGCCTATTTACCCGGAATACTGAGAGATTATGAGAGTTTGAGTTTTATCAATTTTGCTCTTCGCTTCGAGCTGTATCGACTCGCTCTGATAACCGAGTGAACAAATACAACAGATGGAGTGAATTGATACACTGATACAAAGCGAATTGATACAATGTATCACGAGTTTTTTTAAAGTTAAGTGTGGCAAATTTCCACAAATATAAATAGAAC